GTTCCCATGGGCTCAGGGATTTGGTTGAGGTTTCTCTGCATATATATATACATATATATTATATATATATATATATATATATATATTTAAATACACATATATATATTGTACAGAATAAAAATGTTTTATTGAACACACTGTGCTTATGCTTAAGACCCAGGCGCATCTTGCAGAGCTGGATTCCTCTCCAGGATCAGAGACGAGTGAAACCCTTACACTGCTGAGCCCTGAATGGGGGAAGAACACATTTGGTATCTCATTCACCCTGCCTCCTTTCCTCTCCCCGACTTGGTGATCAGTATTGCAGTGCTGTGACTCAAATATTCTGGCCTGTTTTGCATAGTTCTTTGAGTGAGCAGAACAGAAAGTGAAACTGCCACCTTTTCAGCTAAGATAGCTATCCACCCTGTACTTGAGGAGTTGGCCACTTGCTAATGGTCACAGGGGTAAGGAGGCTGATGACTATGCCCTGTCAGAGATTTGGAGATAAGCATGCCAGCTACTTAATGACGAGTAGAACTTAGAGACATGGCAGTCTGGTCCCCACGCTTTTCCTAGCAATGCAAAGTAGCCTGAAGTGAGGTTTATATAGTCTAAACTGGCTTTTTGGAGCCGAAGGCCAGCTGGCGAAACCTTTGTCCCTTCCTCCTGTTTGTGTTCAGAGTACCTGACTACCACATTTTATGGGTGAAGAAATATGGCCCAAGGTTAAACTCAACTGTAAAAAGCAGGGACTACAGGGACTTCCTGGCAGCCAGTGGTTAAGACTCCACGCTTCCACTGCAGCGGGGCGAGGGTTTGATCCTGGTAGGGGAACTAAGATCCCGCATGCTGCGCAGTGTGGCCAAAAAAAAAAAAAAAGCAGGGACTACATTTTCAGTACTGATCCTTGCAAAAGAAATTTAATGATAAATGTGGGCCATGGTCCCACGGGTATTCTGCCTCCAGGGTATTAAAGTGATAGCCTCCCTACCATTCAGGCTCAGCTGCTTTTTATATATCACTGGTTTAACTTGCTACTAAGAAGCCTGTGGTTGAAGAACTTCCTCTTGGTGTTGGGAACTAAGAACCATTTACTTCCTTCTGTACAGTTGCTGATAAACCGCTATGAGGGAAGGTTATAGTCAGCAAAAAGGTACTATAGCCTTCTCCCAACACTGACCTTTGCACGTCTGTCTGCTGCCCCCTCCACAGGCTCACTGCCAGTATGCTGGGGCAGGGCTGGCATTCCCAAGAAAACAAGGTGTGCTGCTGGTATTGTCTTTATTGGTTATTCACTAGTGCTCCCCCTACCTCCCCCCACTACCTGTCTTGGCCTCTAGAAGGTCAATGAAACCAAGGTTTCTACCACATTACTTTTCTATTTGACTCCTTCCAGTCAACTGAAGTGTTGAAAATTTGTTCAACTTGATCTGTACAGCACCCAGAGGAGATTTTTTTTTTAAACTTCTCCCTAGATTAGGAAAGGAAGTTTTGGAAAATGATACCCAGACATCGCCACAAACTAATGAGGCACTTTGCTACATTAATGCAACATTGAGGAGTATAAAAAGGTGTATAAGTAGTATGTACATTTTTATTGTTACAGTTCTGGTAATCTTAAAATTTTCAGTATATACGTTTCATCCGGTGAATATCAAGCATCTATTGTGTGCAAGGCACTGTGAAGAATTCTTGCCTTTAAGAAATCTACAAATCTAGTAGGAAAAGAGCCATATATACAGTAAGCACTATCTTTTATTAGATATTTAACTGCCACAAAAGTGGAAGGTCTTTCTGGAAGAAGAAATAATTTGCTAGACACAGTGGTTTTCAAATGTTCCCCCTTCAAATTACAGACCCCCAATTTATAAATAAGCTAAAATAAGCCTAAAAGTACTGGTTTGAGTACATGTATGGGAAGGGGGACTATGTATACCTTTCTCCCTACCCTCTTATCTCCCCGCCAACCCCCCGCCACCACTCAGTTCATCTTTGATTGGGTTCTCTTTGTAATCAACATTTCCCATATCAGAAAAGCCAAAACTGACTTTCCACACATAAGAATGGAGATTAAGAATACAGTACTATAAACATGGACTAGTGCAAAAAGCTACAATAATTCATTTAAAACCCTAAGCTAAAGATTCACACTTCAGTAGGGAAGAGATGAACATGCCAGTGACCCTGAAGGCCCAAGCATTTACCTCTTACATTTGTCTTTAGGGTTTAAGGAAATGACCTTGCCCTCTACAAACCTGGTGGGCTGTTATTATCTTCTAGATGGGTATTTCTCAAATTTGTTAATATACAAATTCAGTAGGGGTGGGGTAAGGCTGAGACTATTTCTAACAAGTTCTCTGGTGCCGTGGAGCTGCTGCCCCTCAAAATCACACTTGGAGTAACAAGGTCCTAGAGGTGATCTAGTTCTGATCATGACTTAGCCAATCTAAACAGAGTTCCTGAGCTGGCCCAGTAACAGTCTCATTGCAAGAGGTAGAAGGGCGAATGGCTAAAATTGTGACTATGATAGGGTTTACTTGAATGAAATTCAGTATTTATTGCGTAGCTTCTATGTACACAGTCCTGCCCTAAATTAGTTACCACTTTAGGGTTTCAGGTCTTCACCTCACATAAAAAAATTTTTTTTAACTTTTTTTTCACTCAGTTCCTTTTATGTGCCAATGTTAAGCTACATACTTTAAGTACATTTTTCTTAATCTTCAGTAATCTAAGGCATTATCTCAGTTTTACACATGAGGAAAGTGACTTGCTCAAGGCTGTATTCTAAGAGGCAAAGCCAGGTTTGGAACCAGATCTCTTAACTTCTGAGGCCCAGGCATTTTAAACTGTATGACACTGCTTCCCTAAAGACTAACAATTAAAAACTCAATACAGTTGTATCTCTGGAAGATGAGTTTTTACATGCCTGTCAACAATAGAATTAGAATCCCTGAGGTGGGAGCCTTAACTCGGCATCTAACCCGATTATTTTCCTTATTAAAAATTTTATAAAGTTATAAATTTCCTTGAGAAGTGAACATATTTCCATCTCCCAGTTACAAATAAAATATTAAAACCCTGCAGCAAGCCTGAGGGCAGCACTAGTGTGTTAATGGCTTAAAAAATGATTCCAATGTCTGCATGCCCTCAGGCCTAGGGCGTTTATTTTTGGAGGCCAAAGGGCTCTTGGGATTTCTTTTGCCTTGAGGAGAACTGGCAGGAGCAACCTGGGGGTTTGAGTGGGGCTGCAAAAAGGATTTCTGCAAGTCCAATGCAAAATGATAGTCTGTATGTTCTGGCATCTCCCATACAGGTATCAGAGAGCCACACTTCTCACAGGGCACTTGGTCCTCAGCAGCCAGAAGACTGGAGGTAGTAGATGCCTTCTGAGCCACCTCCAGAGCAGACTTGGAAGTTAAAGAAGCAAGGCTGCTTAGGCTGTTCTGGGCCAAATCCATCTCTGCAGGAGTTGCTTTGAAGGATCCTAGCTTCAACACCTTTTCACAGACAGGGGCACAATCTGGACACTCTGTTGGAAAACAATTTGGTAACTCTTTAGGACTGGACTGTGGTTTTTGTGGAGGGAAGAAAACATTAGTAAGCCGTTTCTGCTTTAGCAGCAGACTCTTCTGTTTAAAGAAGGGCTCAGTTCCTGAAGCACGACTGGTTTGGAAAGGTAACGAGGGCTTGAAGGGTGAATTGCTTATGGGGGCCTGTGTAGTGGCAGTAAGAGAAGAAAGTGAAGCTTCTTTGACTTTCTGCTTTTCTGCAGCTTTCTGGAAGAATGATGCCAGAGAAATGGTTGATTTCTTAGTGGTTGTCACCGCTGGGCCATTTTCCTGGGTCTTAGCTTCTGAACTGGTAATTGGCACCTTTGACGGAGAGCTTGGGTCACTGCTCAAGAAGATGGTGATGTCTGTGCCAGGTGAAGGGGCAGAGGCAGAGAATTTGGTAGCACAGAGGAAAACCATTTTAAGGGGAGGGGACCTGAACAGAAAGTAAAAGAATAAGATTAGCACCGGGTCACAGGTTCAGTTTGTAAATGATTGGGATTCTGGTTCTGCCACAAAAGGACACTGTTACTGCAGTGGTTCTCAGACTTCAGGGTATATCGGATTAATAGATTCGATGGGCCTGGGATGGGCAGAGAATCTGCCATCTAACAAGTTCTCAGGTGATGCTGATGTTGCTGGTCTAGGGCCACACCTTAAGAACCACTGACTTTGGTGAACACCTACCAAGTCAGATGTGTAAGTTGGATCCCCTGACAGCTGGGTTTATTGTTTTCATAAGATACTTCTGCAGAGCTGCTGAAATTCAGGGTTGAGGCAAGAAACTATTCAGGGCAATAAAAAAGCTTTAGAATATTTAGAGTGGAAAGACTTTTGAAAAAATCCTCTTACACACTCTTCTGTTTTTAAACAGAACCAGAACTCTGACAGACTTTGAACTCTGGAATTTTTAGAGAATGAAATTTCACAACTGCTTTGGTTATCTGGTCTCAGAAATATTTCAAGAAATTGCTGTCATAAAGTTCCTCATTATGTCTAATTACCCAAATAAATTTTCACATGAGTTGAATTTTGGAAGATGAAATGTGCTTTTATATACAGATTAGTCCCTTGATGAGGTAAATTTTAAAATTATCATGACAGTATCTCACTATTCTCCTCTTTCATGCTCTGCGACAGTCTTATAATCAGACAACGTTATGCTTCCCTGTCAATATTTCACACTCTTGGTGAGTAGTATTTGTTATAGTCTGTCAATTTACAAGGTTTAATGTGAATATAGTATCACAATTATCATTTGGTTCAGTAAAACCATTCAATATTTGAAAAGAAACAAATATACCAGGAAGTAAAAGTAAATTATTCTAAGAACAAAGACTCTAACTTTAGAGACCCATACATGTAGTACCCTTATATTCAGATATGCAGTAACTTAGGTGCCTAACTAAACTTTTCTTTTTATAATCTCCAATGTAGATCTATAAATAAACAACCAATTTATCTTCCTCACATAATTATATTTACATTGTGAATCTGGAATACTTTTTCAATTTAAGAGGCTATGTTAAATAAATAATTACGGTATTCCAATACTGAAATCATTAATATCTGGACAGTAAATGAACACACTCCAGTATATACTTGGTTATCTTTAATGGCCAGCTGAAGTGAAGTTTACTATTATGACATTTGGTATTACACCAGTGGAGCTTATAACTGAGTTGGGATGTGAGAGAGAGATTACTGGTGAATGGGTCACTTTCATTATCAAGGAAGATGATTTTAAGATAGAACCATCAAGCAGTTGAGAGAAAAGTTCCCTGAAACTTGAGTTCTGTACTCCTAAGTACAATTGGTCATTCCCCTGACTATAGCAAATTGATATAGGCAGGGATAGTATTGGTTCTCTCTGCCTCTCAAACCAAATGTAGGCAAAGAGGCTGCAGCTGAGCTGCCTTGTTTCTGGTGCTTCTACTGTGTCCTACCCCAGCTGGAATGCTTATATACCCACTAATTTTAAAGACAGGGTTTAAGTCTCAAAAGAAGATGAGTTAGAAGGAAACTCACCATTCAGTTTGGGTTCCTGAAGTGTTACAGTTCCTGATGACAGCAAATGCATCATGGCTCATCTTGTGAGCATCATAGCGAGTAAGGGCACAGCAGCGGCGCAGGCTGCTGAGACGTTTGTCTCCTTGTACGCGAATGCTCACGACCAACTGAGTGGCCACCCTGTCATTCTGTGGGTGTAAATGGATTGAGACAGAACTGAAGTTACCTTGAGCATGTGGATTCTATATAGTAATGTCTGTGAGAGGAAAAAACCAGGGTGACAGAATGGTTTGGGAATAGGTTTAATTTTTTAAAATTTTGTGCTGTTTCTGAGTATAAATAATTGGAGAAGACATAATTTAGATGATGGAATATTAGAATATCTAGGATATTCTGACAGGTAATGGGAACAGGACAGAATAAATGAGAAAATGGATTCTCCTGAATGTTTTGTTTTGTTTTCTGGTGGTGTCCGTGCAGGAAGATTATACTAAATACTTGTAATACTATATTCTAGTTAGTGACTGAAGGAGGGTTCATGTAAGTCATTGAAAGGGTGTCAGGATTGAGTAGTGGATCTATTCTTTAATCTGCTCTGATGCTCTTATGCTTAAGAGCAGAAGTGGACTTACCTGGTGGCACAAGTGGTTAAGAATCTGCCTGCCAATGCAGGGGACACGGATTCGATCCCTGGTCTGGGAAGATTCCACATGCCGCAGAGCAACTAAGCCCATGTGCCACAACTACTGAGCCTGCGCTCTAGAGCCCGTGAGCCACAACTACTGAGCCCGTGTTCCACAACTACTGAAGCCCATGCACCTAGAGCCTGTGCTCCTCAACAAGAGAAGCCACCGCAGTAAGAAGCCCACACACTGCTATGAAGAGTAGCCCCTGCTCGATGCAGCTAGAGAAAGCCCACGTGCAGTAATGAAGATCCAACGCAGCCAAAAATTAATTAATTAATTAATTTAAAAATGCGTGTTTGTTAAATGCATAAATATTTCAATCTTAACAACAACAACAAAAAACAGCAGTAGTTTCTACTAGCACCTCCTTACAGCCCATCTATAGAAGATAAAGTGTAGTGAGCCTGCCTCTAGAGAGCATGGTCATTGATTCACTTTTCAGTGACGTCTAAGCACCTGAATACTGTTGATGCAAAGCAAACTAAGAAGTAAAGGTCGAGGCAAGAAGGTAAAAAGTATACATAGGGATCCCCTCAAAATCAAAAGATTCTAGTGAGAAGAAACACCCCTAAGACAAACCAAGAGCAGCAACCAACTTCTAGGTAAAAATACATTTTGTATTTTTGTGCATTTTGTAAATACAGTTTATACAGATTTGTATATCTCGAGAGAATACAAATAGGCAATTACAAACAAGTCCTTGTTGACTAAAACCGTTCAACTATAACTGACTGCCTACTATGTATCAGGCACTATCTAGAGATACAGGAGAGAACAAAATAAAGTCCAGGCCCTTCTGGATCTTATCTTGTAGTAGGAGCTGCATATAATAAACAAGTAGGCATGTAATAGAAATGACCACAAAGTGCCATGGAAAAAAGCAGAGTAAGGCAGAGAGTGATGGAGGCTGCTGATATGACAGGGGAGTTGGGGAGAAGGTGAAGGTGAAATTTACTTGGTGTGTTAAATAAATGGGGAGGAGGCCAGCAAGTGGAGTCTAGAGGGGAGTGAGCTAGGGGGAGATGATAGGACACGTCCTTGACTGTTAGAGAATAAAGAGATGAGAACGGAGCGACACCTAGTGGGCAAAGCCAAATAGACCCATAACAACCTCTTTATGTTGCCTCCCAAAGAACAAACATTTACCACCACCTCAGCTAAAAAGGGGCAAACAGGTAATTATAGATGATTCCTGACAGTATACAGTTGATGTCTCAACTGGAGAGGACACATCAAACAATACCATCAGGAAAATGGAAAGAAAATCCACAGAATGGGAGAAAATATTTGCAAATTATATATTTGACAAGGGACTTATACCCAGAATACACACAGAACTTTTAAAACTCAATATAAAGAGACAACCCATTTCAAAAATGGGCAAAGGATCTCGACAGACATTTCTCCAAAGGAAATAAAATAGCCAATAAGCACCTGAAAACCATGATATACCACTTCACACCCACTAAATAACAAAGATCTAGAGAAATTAGAACACTCTTACATTGCTGGGAGTGTAAAATAGTGCAGCAACAGTCTGGTATGCTAACATAGAGTTGCCATGTGACTCAGCAATTCTACTCCTAGGTATATATACAAGGGAAATGAAAACATGTCTACACAAAAATCTGTACATGAATGTTCACAGCAACATTATTCATAATAGCCAAAAAGTGGAAACAAATATCCATTCACTGATGAATTGATAAATAAAATGTGGTATATCCATTCAATAGAATGTTGTGATAAAAAGGAATAAAGTACTGACAGATGCTACAATATGGGTGAACCTTGAAAATATTATGTTAATTGAAAGATTTCAAGCCAGTCACAAAAAGCCACATATTATATTATTCCATAGATATGAAATGTCCAGAATAATTAAGTCTATAGAGACAGAAAGCAGACTAGTGGTTGCGTAGGGCTGGGGGAGTAACTATTAGTGGGTATAGGATTTCTTTTCTGGGTTATGAAATGTTCTTAAATTGATTATGGAATAGTTGAACAACTCTGAAATATACTAAAACTACTGAACTGTATACTATAAATGGGTGAATTTCATGGTATGTAAATATATATATATATATATATATATATGTATCAATAGAGCTTTTTTTTTGAAAGAGAGAAGATAAACTAATCATCAGATGTTTCATCTTTGACTTAAGACTCTGTCTCTATAACTGAGTACTTCTTTGTCACATGGACTATGTTAAAGCCAAATAATTTACAGTCCAATTCCTAAATGTCCTGCTTAATGGTTCTGTACTCTGGTGAAGATCCACTGTATATTCAGAGTTGCAGTAACATTTAGATAATATACAAAAAAGTAAAAGCAAATGGTAATGAGGGAGACAGGGGTAGTCAGGTCTTACGTTCACAGATCCAGGCTTTTGAGAATCATACTGAGTTTTATGGCAGTTTTATGGGAAAAGATAAAAGATTTCTTAAAATTTTCCAGCTGGTATCTTTTTGTATCTTTGTTTCTACTCCATAAGGTAAGGAGCAACTTGTATTTAAATCCCAAAGCTCACCCCAGGAATAAAGAAAGAAAATCTTACATCATTTCGGTCCTTGATTAGCCTCTCCTCTAGTTCCTGGGCTAATTGCAAAAGCCACCATTGTACCTAAAAAAAGTATTGAGACTTTAATCTTTCATTTAAAGACTCTAGGTTTATTATAGAACTAAATGGTGGTTTTGTTCAATTCTCCCCACAATGGAAGTGTGCAACAAAGTCTCCCCTGTAACAATCGCCAGATCACAGAAATCTTCAGTACTCTGACCTGCCCTAGCTCAAGAGCTTTCATTCTTTTCCTGCTGGCATGCCATCAGGTGAATTTCAGGCATGTTCCAGCTCTGAGAAAAAAAGACACAGAGGGCTTCTCTGGTGGAGCAGTGGTTGAGAGTCCGCCTGCCGATGCAGGGGACACGGGTTCGTGCCCCGGTCCGGGAAGATCCCACATGCCGCGGAGCGGCTGGGCCCGTGAGCCATGGCCGCTGAGCCTGCGCGTCCGGAGCCTGTGCTCCGCAACGGGAGAGGCCACAACAGTGAGAGGCCTGCGTACCGCAAAGAAAAAAAAAAAAAAAAAAGACACAAACTTGAAGCACAGTATCCTGGCCTCCTAAGATTTCACCTCTACCGAAAAATGAGTAATTCCATTTCAAACTTCAATCAGCTCCATTCTATTTCTTTTTAGATGGAAGAAAGGGAAAAAATTATAATAATAATAATAAAATCCCAAGTTAAACTAGTCAATTTTCAGCACACAAAAAACCTTCTATTTCCTTCATATTTTACAGCATAAAGGTCCCATCTAACTTTCCACAGCTACCAAAACCTACCCACCAACTCCCTTAAAAGAAGCAATGTTCTGTCAAGAATGTCTGCCTACCTGTTCCCGAGCAGCCAGAGCTGTTTTTCCTGGGAAGTTCTTGCTGCAGCCAATGGTTTTGGGTATTTGCCTGGGTTTAACTGGATCATGTTCAATCCCCCGGCACATGGCATATAGCCAAGATCTAATAAAACCAGCAAAAAAGTTTAAGGTGAAAGCAAATGATTTTCTTGTTAAGACAAAATACCTATATTATACTACCTTTTATCCCTTTCATGAAAGAGGAAAAATTTGTTCAAAATTAAGTACACCTCACCCGTAACAGAATCCTTGCCCTTCCCAATGAATTCCAGTCATGATAAATTGCCAAGGAGAACACATTATGCTTTCTAAAGCCAAGTCATGTTTTTGGAAAAGTGCCAACTAAGCCACATATTTCATATCCCTAAGTATTTTTGGTACTTAGTAAGCATAAATACAAGGATTTTTAAGAGAACAACAGCATCTTAGCACACATAAATGTTGTACATGTATATATCAGAGCTTCAAAGGAACAGTTCCTATCTACCAACCTATTTAGGCATGTGAAAAAAACTAGACTAATAGGTTATAATGATTTAATATTTTAAAGCAAAAGGACCAATGCCATTACCTCGAGGAGCAAATATTAACCTAAAGATAGGTCTAGATTTTACCTGATGCTCTGTCTACATTTGAATTTAGCATATCCATAAAGGTTATGACTGAAAAGTATTAGGAATCACTTACCCATTCTTCTCCCCGAAATGACTCTGGAGCTGGGATTCAGTGAACTGGGTCAGTTCTCCCATGTATTCTACCCCCAGGATTTCAATGACAGAAGCCCCTAGCTTTCCTCCAAGATTACGGCTAACAACAACCAAAAAAAGACAAAAGATTTATAGGTCACATCATAAATATCTAGTTTGCAGTAGATACAAAACATTTTGCCTGTATAAGAAGCTCTCCAGAAAGTTCAGGGAAAATGAGAACACACATTGGTCCTGTAAACTACTGATTTTCTAGCATAAGACTAGACAACTCTGGGAATTCAGTACTCTGGAAGTTAGGGCCTGGGAAGAAGATTAACCATAGCATAAACACAAGGGTAAAGTCATTAATTAGTTATCAAGTCAACTGTGTATAAAACTTTCAATTGTACAGGATCTACTGTCCCATTTAGGGATTAAAATTCCACCTCCAAAAAAACCCCTTCCATAGCTAAAACCTTTTATATTTAAGAATATAGTAAAAAAAAAAAAAAAAAAAAAAAAAAAAAAAAAAAAAAAAAAACCTCTTCAGCTTGGCCTTTGAGATGTCTAATAATCTGTCCTCAACCTCTCTGTTCAGTCCTTTTTCCATCACTTATCTTCCTCAATATGGTCCCAGTTCACTGGAAATATATTTTCTCCATCTTGGTGCTCAAAACAGTCTCCAAATTGGTATTTCTCTTCTATTCTCATCTGACTCTCTGAATTGTGCCAATCTCAAAACAAAATCCCATGCCTTTTTCATAAGTCCTTCTCAGATGACTTTTATGAACTTTGGTAACTACCTGTACAATTCATTTAGCAGTTACTCACATACAGTCTTGATGATAGCACTTTCACTATTGCTTTGAACAGTTATATCTTGTCCCTTCAACAATATTATAAGCGCTTGTCAAGGACACACTATTGGTATGCACAACCTAGTTATTAATTTTATTTGGGAGCAATTCAGTAGCCCTGAACAGCTTGATACGCTACTAGAACAAAGAAAAGAAGTAAAATTCCTATTTGTTATTTAGTAACAGGCTTGAGTAAAAAACCTAGAAGGAAGTTAAACATATGGCTAAAAAACAGTTCATTTTTTTTAAAATTCAGGATTAAGTATCTTCCACAGATAATCCAGAATTGAAAGTTCATTAAGAAAAAAATCTCAGTATGTTTGTAAAATTTTCTGTGTCGTCTCCCTCCTGTCCTGATGGTACCTATCTTCCCTGGCTCCAATCCTTAAGGAACAGAAGAAACTACAACCAGAGAGGGCCTTCACATATATAGAAGTGAAATCTAAGGTGCTCCCTGAATACTTACACTTTGCTAATAGGCACTTGGCTGAAGAGCTGTGGGACTGACCCATGTGAGACCAGGGTCTGCCGGTTGGGCTTGTTTAGTCCACAGGCCAGCTTTGCCAGAACCTGGAGCATGGAAAGTATAAAAACCTCATTACTGTCAACACCCACACACAGAGCTGGTGAATATTAACACACACATATACATGCATACACAAGGCACAGCTTAAGGGCTGTGACTAATGGTTTCCACGTTAAAAACAAAAACAAAACCAGAAACTCAAGACATCTCCAAAGCTTGGTGTCCCACAATATCCACAGTGGAAAACGTGACCCACTATCATTATCCTCATTGTTCTTTCCACATCTTCCATTCTCAGTCTTTCTTTAGTCATTTATTCCACCCTCGTCTATTCCTTAAGGTTTTCCTATTTCAAGAGGGTGAAAAAGTAGAGAAGCTACAGAAGAGACTTAAGATGCATTACTTAGTATGTCCATATGAAAATGTTAAAACAAACTCACTTTACCCTACTCCATTTATATACATTTCTTGATTAATGGTTAGTCCATTTTGAGTCCTGGATTTAATACAGATTACCATCATTTAGCATCTGTGATAAAGACTGGGCTCGAAATCACTGTCCAATAGCAAACATCTTCTTATACTAAATAAGACTTCAAAATGAAAAAACCCTTGAGAAGTCTTTTCAAAGAATAAGGTACTTCAGTGGTATCATTTAACAACTTATAATTGGTAGGAAAAATATAAAATCACTCTTCAAATTCATTGGAGATTCTCTGAAACTTCTACTAGGCCACATTTAGTCTAGTTTAAATTACTACATTGAGACTTTTGTTTCCCCTCCCTCCACCTAACCAGAAAAAAAAAAAACCCAAAACTCTACTGGGTAGTTTGGCAACTTTCCTCTTCTTGGGAATTCCCTGGCGCTCCAGTGGTTAGGACTCGGTGCTCTCACTGCCGTGGGCTGGGGTTTAATCCCTGGTTGGGGAACTAAGATCCCACAAGCTGAGCAGTGCAGAACTTTCCTCTTCTTGGCTGAGGGAGAGAAGGTAGTAACTAGGAATAATCAGCCACTGCCCAGCTGCTGAGTCTACACCAAAGGGGATGAAGATCCCAGGGCCACACTGCAGTTTAATCAAAAAGCACAGAACAAAAGCATAGAACACCCAGAACTCCACATAAGAAGTGAGATAATACTAAAAAATTCAGCAACCAAAAAGAAAAGAAATAGGTTCCTACTAGCCTCCTCCTTTCTTTGTTTGCTTGCAGGATCTTAGTCCCCTGACCAGGGATTGAACCCAGGGCCCCCGGCAGTGAAAGCGCCGAGTCCCAACCACAGGACCACCAGGGAAGTCCTGCCTCCTCCTTTCTTTGGATAGTTCAGTCATTAAGGAAATACTGTGGATACAACTATGTAAATAACCATTTCCAGCAAAATTTTCAGCCTGCTTCTTAGGAAAGTACATGTGCAATGTCAATTCCCATGATAAAGAATTACTTAGGTTTTTATTTGGTCTTCACCGTGAAGTTTAAGTAGAAACCCATTTCAAAGTATATGTGTAATGATTGAAATGCCCCACTCATATGTATCCTGGCTGTTTGTTTTTTGTTTTGTTTTTCTTTTTCTTTCTTTTTTTTTGTTTCTATGCCTGCTGTGTTTAACTACAGATATCTGTGTTTCTCTTTGAAATCTACTATTAGCCTTCACCTTATTGTGTGAAATCCCGGCTGAACACTGAAAACCAGTCTGCCTCTCTATGGCTGCTCTCATTTCCTCCACGATCACTGCTCCCACAGTGAGCTGTAGGTCTGGAGAGGTGGTGTTATCAGTCTGAAGAGAATCAAGCCATTGCAATAAGCCTTGTTTTCGCATTTCCTCTGAAAAGTTGAGAGGTAACAGTTAGACTTCTTTTTTTAAAAAATCAGGGTTTTATTTGTGTTATCTAATGCAGAAATGCTTAGATTTCAGGTACTTTACATATGTAGGTTTTCACCAAAAATGGCAGCCATTTTAGAAGACTATTCAGTATCACAACAGAGATAAATTTCTCCTTCATACCAATTCTAGCAGCCTTATCTCCCAGCATAGGCTGAACCTTATAAGCTCTAATAAGCAACAAATATTTTGTATTGTCTTTCATGAGTAATGATTTAAAAGTACATCTGTTTTCTCTCTCCAGTTTTCGAACTTTCTTCTTCCAACTTCCCTTGCACATCACCAAGAATTCTATTAAGTTACTCAATTAGAAAATATTCAGAATTATCGCACGCTTCAGTATAAACTTAAGTTAGCATTTATGTATTTTTAGAGACTGGTTCCAGTTGAATAGCTTAAGTCCAATCAGAGGCACTAGAAGATTTATTCTCTTGACAAACTATTTAAATTAGAAGTAGCTTTGTACCTTAGGGCTTTGAAAATACCTTACTATCCAATTTAGAACTAGTCACAGTTTTGAAAAACATTTTAAAAGTATTATATAACAAGGAAGTTAGGAAATATACACATGCTGTTTTAAAGAGGCTGTAATGAGGTATGAACAAGGCAAGAAAATTCAAAATATCTTGGAGAGGCAGAGTGAAGGGTCACATATATGGAGAAGAGGAGGAAGATGAGCACATAGAAGGAAGTATTTTCCAGCTATTGAGGGCTGCTGTTTCTCTCCTTTGCTGGTCTATCTCCCTCCTCTAACACCGTAACTGCAGATAGGAGCAACGTTCTCTTCTCTGTATATATGCTTTTTCTCTTGGTGAACTGGTACTGGCTTATGTTTCAATTTGCTTATGCTAAGTACATGCAAATCTTAATCTCTATCCCCAAACTCTTAACTTTAATCCCTTATTTCTACCTCCCTACAGAAAAAGTCTTCTTGAATTTTTCATTACAGTATCAAACAAAATACTACTAAAGTCAACCCTTATTATATCTTCCTCCCCAAAGGTTCTCTTTCCCAAACAACTCCCTATTTCTCTTAAAGGTTTAAAATCTAATATTGGCTTCTTTTTTTTTTAATTAATTAATTAATTTTTATTTTTGGCTGCCTTGGGTCTTCGTTGCTGCACACGGTCTTTCTCTAGTTACAGCAAGCGGGTGCTACTCTTCGTTGCGGTGCGTGGGCTTCTCATTGCGGTGGCTTCTCTTGTTGCAGAGCGCGGGCTCTAGTAGTTGCAGTACACAGGCTTAGTTGCTCCTTGGCCTGTGGGATCTTCATGGACCAGGGCTCGAACCCATGTCCCCTTCGATGGCAGGAGGATTCTTAACCACTGCACCACCAGGTAAGTCCCTTGGCTTCTTTTCTTTTATTCCCCTTTATTATAGTTAGTTAGTTACCAAAGCCCACTTCAAAATATTTCACATATCCATTGCAACCCACTGTATTTTATTCAGCTTTCCTTCATTCTTGCCTAGGCCACCTCAAACTTCTTTGTTTGTGGTTTCTGTTTGTTTTTGGCTGCACCGTGCGGCATGTAGGATCTTAGTTCCCCGACCAGGGATCAAACCCATGCCCCCAGCAGTGGAAGCGCAAAATCTTAACCACTGGACCACCAGGGAAGTCCCCATAAATTTATAGTTAACTATTAAAAATCAGGTAGTGTTAAGTCTTCCAACTTAGTTCTTTTTCAAAATTGTTTGCCTATTCCACATCCTTTGCATTTCCATACAAATTTTAGAATCAGTTTATCAATTTCTATAAAATCCTGCTGGGATTTTGGAGGGAATGCAATGAATCTGTAGGTCAATTTGGGGAGATTTGAACTCTAATATTATTTAATCTTTCAATCCATGAGCATGGTCTCTTCATTGATTTCATCTTTAATTTGTCAGTGATGTTTTGTAGTTTTCACTGAACTAGTTTTTCCACGTATATTGTTAAATATATCTCTAATAATTTTATGGTTTTAATACTATTGCTTTTTAAATTTCAACTTCCCATTTTAAATTTTAATATATAGAAATACAATCAATTTTCACATATTGACTTTGTCCCCTGCAACCTTGCTAATCTCACTTATTCTAGGTTCTTTTTCTGGGGGGGGGGGTAGATTCCCTAGGATTCTCTATAAACATGGGCATGTCACCTGCATTTGACTAGAACTGTTGTAAGAGTGAGCACTGGTAATTTGTGCCAAAACTTTGGAATTAAACTGATAAACCTCTAGCTATGGCCCACAACTCTAGGGACCATAACTACAAGAGAAGTCCCTATACTGGTAACGGGTGTACCTTCCTCTGTGCTATGAGCTGATTAGTGCCTTCCAAGCTCCCTCTGGTTGTTGGCAGAATTTATCATCTTGGGGACTTCCCCAGTGGCAAAGTGGTTAAGAATCCGCCTGCCAAGGCAGGGGACGTGGGCTCGATCCCTGGTCTGGGAAGATCCCACATGCCACGGAGCAACTAAGTCTGTGCGCTACAGCTACTGAGCCTACGCTCTAGAGCCGGTGAGCCACAACTACTGAGCCCGTGAGCCACAACTACTGAGCCCGTGAGCCACAACAACTACTGAGCCCACGCCCCTAGAGCCCGTGCTCCACAGCAAGAGAAGCCACCGCAATGAGAAGCCCACGCACAGCAACAAAGAATAGACCCCACTCACCGCATCTAGAGAAAGCCCGTGCGCAGCAACGAAGACCCAGTGCAGCCAAAAGTAAATAAATAAATTAAAATAAATTAAAATAAAAAAATTTATCATCTTGTGGCTGTAGGATTGAGGTCCCCATTTTCTTGCTGGCTGTCAGCAGAGGGCAGCTCTCAGAGCATAGCCATGGGGGCTTCTCCAAAGGCCCTCTTACAATATGGCAGCTTACTTCGTCAAAGCCTGCAAGCAGTCTAGTCAACTCTTACAGCTCTCAACTCTGGCAGTTGATTGATTTAATTTTTAATTTTATTTTTATTATTATTATCATTATCATCTTTTATTTGGCTGCTCCGGGTGGTATGCGGGGATCGTAGTTCCCTGACCAGAGATCAAATTCATGCCCCCTGCAGTGGAAGTGTGGAGTCTTAACCACTGGACCTCCAGGGAAATCCCTGACAGTTGATTTATATTTTTTTATACCACTATACAACTGTTTCTTATTATATGCATTCACATGTTCAATACTTGCTTAGAAATAAATGAATTAAGAGGAAGCAAACGGAGAACAAATGAGCTCTTTAGCTAACACAAACCAGTTACAAAATGGCCCCGAAGGGTAAGTTTTCACTCTGGCAATTTTTGAGTTATTTTTAATTAATATTGCTACTTAAATTTTTATTTTTAATTAATCGTTTATTTTTAATTAATCTTACTACTTAAACTTTCCACACACATAACTATTTCAGAAACAGAAAAAAACAAAGTTGCAAATGCAGCATGGCTGAGCAGGACCCATTAAGAGGCACCATGGTAAAGTTGAATGGGAACTTCAGTATAAAAACATCACAAATACCTCGACTCTTTTTCCTAGCTTTGAAATATGTCACATCCACGAAAAACAATTTCTGGAAGGGTATATGCACTTAGATCAGCTAATTTCTGTTATGAGGTGTTTTTTTTTTTTTTTAATTACACACATCATATGAAGACTCAGGAGTATGATATATCATCATAAATCATTTCCTAGACATTGTACTGTTCTGAGCACTCTAAGTAATAAGATGATATCACTGCATCTCGAAGCTTAATATTTAAACTAGACACAATAAAGCAACTTCTTCCTTCGTATATGAATACCTTTTATTTCCTCATACAGAAATAAGATTTCTTTAAAACACTGGCATTTTATATAAAAATGTAAGAAAGATAGGTATTGAAGAGGAGCATGTCCATTTGAAGTAACATCTGACCACCAACAAAGGCAGGTACCATCATCTTCACTAGAGAGCTCCTCAACAATGAGTTGCCCTCCAAAACCAATGTAATGTGTAATAATAGTTCTTATTCTGAAGTATGTAGGTTTCAGTGGGTCTGTGAATCTCCTGAAAACTACATGCAAAACTGTCTTACATGTAGATATGTATTTTTCTGAGGCAAGCAAGGGTCCACAGCTTTCAACAGATTTTCAAAATGGCATATAGCCTTCAAAAAAACCCTTAAACAGCAAATAATTTAAAGTACTGTAAAACCAAACACAACCACACAAAATCTATGGGATGCAGCAAAAGCAGTCCTAAGAGGGAAGTCCATAGAGATATAGGCCTTCCTCAAAAAAACAAGAAAAATCTCAGAGACTTCCCTGGCGGTCCAGTGGTTAAGATTCTGCGCTTCCACTGCAGGGGGCATGGATTCAATCCCTGGTTGGGAACTAAGATTCCACATACTGTGTGGCACAGCCAAAAAAAAAAACAAAGAAAAACCCAGAAAAATCTCAAATAAACAATCTAACCTACTACCTACGAGAATTAGAAAAAGAAGAACAAACAAAACCTAAAGTCAGCAGAAGGAAGGAAATAATAAAGTATTATAAAACCAATTCCAAATGTTTATTTAAAAAAATTAGCTACACAGTAAAATGTAGTACACAAAACTAAGCCCCCCCACAAAAAAGAAAGAAAGAAAGAAAGAAAGAAAGAAAGAAAGAAAGAAAGAAAAAAATAATAATAACAGGACTTCCCTGGTGGTGCAGTGTTAAGAATCTGCCTGCCAATGCAGGGGACACGGGTTCGAGCCCTGGTCTGGGAAGATCCCACATGCCACGGAGCAACTAAGCCTGTGACCCACAACTGCTGAAGCCCACGCACCCTAGAGCCCGTGCGCTGCAACCACTGAGCCCATGTGCCACAACTGCTGAAGCCCGCAGGCTCTAGGGCCCGCATGCCGCAACTACTGAGCCCACGTGCTGCAACTACTGAAGCCCACGCGCCTAGAGCCCGTGCTCCACAAGAGGAACCACCGCATTGA